GAAGCTCAGGAAGCTTAGAGCGTGAGACGGACGAATGGCACCCCGCCCCTCAGCAGGGCCGGAGTGGGCGTGAGGCAGAGCCACTCAGCTGGGCTGATCATAAAGTAACTGCTCAGAAGACGTCTCCATTCCTCACTCTTCACGTATGGCTGCTGCGCGGAATCCAGCTCAAATGCAGAAGACATCTCTCAGCTGTTCTGCGGCGTCAGCGTGGAAACTGGACGGGACTCAGCCTCACAGCTCCACACACTCGTTGGGCTGACAGGACTGCAAGAGGCAGCTAATACCAAGCCTGGCGGGGAGTCACAGCCCTGTGGCCTTGAGGCTCTCCCTAACAACCACTGAGTTGACTAAAAGTGATGCTGACAGGCTTTACTCTTTCTTTCTTTTATGGATTCTGGCTGCTAAGTGGAGCCTCTAGGACTAGAACCCTATGAGAACAGCACTGAGATTTTTATCAGACTGTAAAATGCTTTAGAAAACCGCACTGAATAATAGGTATAAAATGTAAACTATAATTTAAACTTGACCATGTCTATAAAAATAAACTATGGATAACAGGATTATATACACACTGAACTAAGATAAAAGAATTATGCAAAGACATATAGAAATAACCACCCCAGAAAGTTTCTGACAACCTGAAAGCATATGAATAGGAATTAAGTAAAATTTTACTTTAATCAAAATGTTTCTTCTGAATTTCAAAGACTGAATAAAAAGATATAATGAAATCTATTTCTTGCTTAAGAAAACCCTAAGTCACACATAACCCAGTACATTTAGAAACTTATCTTAATCTCAATGATGGTGACAGAAGTTAGTATTGGGTGAAGGTGAAATGTGCTTCATTTACAGCACTCAACAGTGACTGTGGATATGTGAGACAATTCTTTTCTTACACTGTATTACAACTCATTATAAGATACCAGTGTTTTATTTAGTTTATCATATTTTAGGATAAAATAAGAGCATAATCATTGTTTACAATCAAGTTCTTCGGATGACAAATTTCCCATGAAAACTTAAGGATTGAGCTTCTTTGAAAAAAGAACCTTCCAATGACTTACAGAAGATGTTAGGAGATACAAAAGGCAAAGTTGGAATAACCTCCTCTAAAAATAATGAAACCTGAAACTAGCATATAGATGTACCGGTCTAAAACTATATAATGAAGTTCCATGTATGTACACATCTGTATCTAGGGTGTGAAGGAGGGAGGGAGAGAAAGATGGCTGTAACAATTCACATTATACACTAATAGTACATACATCTATTGTCACCCTATAGCAAATTTCTGAACTCATTTAATACTTGTCCAAATATCTATCACCCTTTCCCTGTTTTTCTTTTTCTTTCTGATCTTTATAAACTGGAGCTCCTTTTTAGAAATACAACCATGAAATGTCTCTTTAACAAATGTAACCTCTAATACCAAGCCACTCACATTTAGTCTAGTGATGGTAATGAAATGAGAATTCCTTTTCTTAAATATTCAAATGAACAAACTCCTATCTTGATTTATAAAAACTTCAACCAATATTCTCTCAAGAAAAGCAAAACCATTTCCATTTATTAAAGGTTATATCTGATATCTATGCCATATAATATAGTATCATTACATTTAGTTTAAAAAGAGAAAACTACTGGTACTTCATGACCGAAAGAAGTCAGATGCAAGGCAAGGGTCAGAGAAAGAAACTGAAATTTCTAGCCTAATCTCAAGCATTTAAACTGATTTTTTTTATTGTTTTCCAATTAACTTGTAAGCATTCTAATTAGATAGGATCTATATAGCATTTTCATAAGAACCACAGGAATTATAAAAGAACCTCAATAATTAATGAGGATAAGAAATCTTTTCATGGCATATGAAAGAAACCTTTCCCATGGAAACATCAAAGGAAAAACATGCCCTAAAATAATGGACTTTTTCTATTGAGTTGATTATCCAGGCATAAAGGGTTGACAAAGAATTGACCTCTGTCACTGGGCTTGATAGAAATGGCCTGAATAAAGAAAATGATATGTTAATGGATCAGGTGAGTGATGGAGGAATCACCCTCATACATACACTTATGTTTTTGAGATAACATGTAATAGACACACACACACACAAATTCTACCCTTCCTTAAATGTATCAGACGTGTCTCTCACTTTTTCATTATTTCAGTTCTAATAAGGAAAAAGAGGATTTTCCAAATCAGTGGATAGGGAAAAAAGTTGGGCTTTTAGAAATGTTTCTGCTGAAACTTATCAGGATTCCTGGCTTTACTGTAGAATTTGGCGAACAGGATAGTGAGGGAGGCTTATCAAGAGACTCTCGCCAACTCTACTTGAGGTTCCAGGGATGTGAAAAAAAAAGAGACAAAGTACCTGAATTCCTGTCATTACTTAGGGAATCAGAAACATTCAAGAGGGTTCACAGCTTAAGACCTTAACATGGACTTTTGAGTGTCTTAAATTAAGGAAGGTATTTAAAGAAATGCTGATGCTATGGTAGCTAAATAAGGTATTTAATTTAATAATGTCAATAATGTGACTAACCTCCTCAGTACTATATATCTTATATGTCCTATTCAGGTTTGGTATACTCTGAAAAAAACCTTTGTTTTTCAAAGCATAAAAATATGTCATATACACAAGGGGAAAGGACTTTGAAAAGAACAAACTTGGAGGATTTACACTACCTGATTTCATGACTTATTCTAAAGCCACAAAAATCAAGCCTGTGATATTAGTGAAGGCATACAGTACAGACACCTGGGGCTTCCCTTGTAGCTCAGGGGCGTCCCTGGTGAAGAATCTGCTTGCGATGCAAGAAACGCTGATTTGATTCCTGGGTTGGGAAGATCCCCTGGAGGAGGGTTACGCTACCCACTCCAGCGTTCTTGGGCTGCCCTGGTGGCTCAGGTCTAGTAAAGAATCCGCCTGCAGTGCAGGAAACCTGGATTTGATCCCTGGGTTGGGAAGATCCCCTGGAGGAGGGCATGGCAACCCACTCCAGTATTCTGGTCTGGAGAATCCCATGGACCGAGGAGTCTGGCGGGCTACGGTCCATGGGGTCGCAAAGAGCTGAACATGACTGACCAAGCACAGCACAGTATAGACACACAGGTCAATGGAACAGAATAAAGAGTTCTGAAATAGAGATTCACACACACACATATGGTGAAATGATTTTCAACTGAGATGTGAAGACACTTCAGTGGTGGAAAGGATAGTCTTTCTAACAACTAGAACAACTAGATATTGTAGGAGGAACAATATTCCTCTTTACCTTGAACTTTGCATCACATACAAAAATTATTTCAATTAGATAATAAACCTAAATGTAAAACCCAGAACTATAAAGATTCCAGAATGATACATAGAAGAAAAATCTTTCTGCCTCTGGGCTAGGCAAATGTTTCTTAGATCAATACTATCAGCAGGAGCCATGAAAAAGAGTAATAAACTGAATTCCATTAATATTAAGAATTTTTGCTCTTTGAAGATCTTGTTAAGAGAAATCCCATATCTGATAAAAGACATATTCAGAAGATACAAAGAATGCTCAAAACTCAACAGTTTAAGAAAACAAACAAAAACAAAAAATGGCAAGTTTTTGAACATACACCTCACTAGAGATGTATAAATGGCAAATAGTACATGAGAGGACGCTCAACATGATTAGTCATTACAGAAGAGCAAACTAAAACGACAGCGAAATACTATATCCCTACAAGAATGCCTAAACTCAGAGAGTGACCATACCAAATGTAGATGATGAAATGGAGGAACAGCACTCACCCTGATAGTGGGAAAATAGTTTGGTAGTTTCTTAAAAAGTTAAAACACACAACTACCATTTAACTCGGGCTTCCCTCATACCTCAGTTGGTAAAGAATCTGCCTGCAGTGCAGGAGACCCTCGTTCACTTCCTGGGTTGGGAAGATCCGCTAGAGAAGGGATAGGCTGCCCACTCCAGTATTCTTGGGCTTCCCTTGTGGCTTAGCTGGTAAAGAATTCGCCCACAATGCGGTAGACTTGGGTTTGATCCCTGGGTTGGGAAGATCCCCTGGAGAAGGGAAATGCTACCCACTCCAGTATTCTGGCCTGGAGAATTCCATGGACTGTAGAGTCCGTGGGGTCGCAAAGATTTGGACATGACTGAGCCACCTTCACTTTCACCATTTAATTCAATCATTTTGGTGTTAGGTATTTACCCAAGAGAAATGAAAATATATGTCCATACAGAGACTTGTATACAAATGTTCACAGCAGCTTTATTTATAGAAGCCAAAAAGTAGAAAGAACCCAAATGTCCCTCAACATGTAAAAGGATAGAGAAATTGTGCTAAAACCATATAATGAGATATTACTCGGCAATAAAAAGGAATGAACTACTGAAGTGTAACAACATGGGTGAATCTCAAAATAATAACTGAATCAAAGAATCCAAAAGAAAGAAATACAGTATGATTCCATTTAGAAAATTCTGGCAAGTGCAAATTAATCCATAGTGATTAGATCCGTGGTCACCTGGGAACTGGAGGATAAAAAGGAAGGGAAGAGGTGGGGAAGTTCAATGGGGCACAAAGAAACTTACAGGGGTGATGGATATGTTACTTGTCTTGATTGTGGTGACAGTTTCACAAGGGTAAGTGTAACTGGATGTCAAACTGTACAGTTTAAATATGTATATTTTCTTACATGTCTATTATACCTCAATAAAGCTGTCAAAAAAATTCTACTGGCAACTAGGGTAATGAAGCTCTAAACGGTACTCTTCTTAACTAATCACCAAATTGTACTGGTCAAATTTATTATGGGCAAGATTATTAAACTAACTGATTCACTGAAAAGATGAAGTACTATTTCAGCAGAGATATGTAAAAGCAAACAAAATTAGTAATTCACATTCCCCAACTTTTGTGACAGTTACTTGAAAGATTTTAGTGGGTTCTGGACGAATGAATTGTACCTAGGAAAAAATGTTAGAAAGTGAACATCATACCTTGATTTGTGCAAAGGGTCTTTCATAACCTCCAACATAGAGAAGGCCAATGTTCTGAGGAAGCAACCTAAAAAGGAAAAGAAAAATACCATTTATAAAAATTCTTCCTTAAATATAAGGTTGTATAATCATCAAAATTTGCATAATAGATACTTAGTATGAAAAATTAATATCTATGCAACTATTCTTGTCTTTTGCATGATGGAACAGTAACCAGCAAAGGAATAATTCTTATACTTCAGAAAATGGTGGATAAACATTGAAAATGGCAACTTAAATGTAAAACAATCCAACAAATTAGTAATTCTAGCAAAATCACTCCATAGGAGAGAATTAAGCAATGCATAGATTTTAAAAAATCTATGAGTTCAATTCAAGAAACACTCTCTGTGTTTATATACCATGCACTATGGAGACAATATTAATACAAACCTAAATAGTTCACTCCCAAAATCTAACAGGAAAACCAGACACACAATTAACTACAACAAAAAGCAGCCTGATAAATGCTATTACAGAGGTACTTATCATCGCAAAGTAGTGGAGTGAGAGGTACTTGCTATGGAGGGAGCTGGAGAAGCCTGACTAGGTGGAATTGAGGCTTAACTCTGACGGGCGGGTAAAGCAAAGGGGAAACTTTATAAACCAAATCCTGAGAACGCAAAAGATTTGAGACAAAAAGGAAACAAGTATGGCTCAAGTAAAGGATAAGTTAGTTGGAGATAAAAACCCAAAGAAAGCTTAAAATGGGCCATGAAGAATGTCAGACTTCATCTTTGTTTCATAAGCAATATTGAAAGCTTAAAATGGGCCATGAAGAATGTCAGACTTCATCTTTATTTCATAAGCAATATTTATTTTTTTGTACAAACAATAAGTGCACACAAAAGTGAAACACCATCTAGAGGGTGGGGGTAAACTGGCTGCCCTTCCCGCACCCTTCCTTCCTTCTATCTAAAGGGTCTACCATTCTCGACTTCTAGGGGCTTCCCTGGTGGTTCAGCAGAAAAGAGTCTGCCTGCAATGTAGGAGATGCGGGTTCGATCCCTGAGTGGGGAAGATCCCCTGAAGGAGGGCATGGCAACCCACTCCAGTATTCTTGCCTGGAGACTCCCATGGACAGAGGAGCCTGGCAGGCTACAGTCATGGGGTCACAAAGAGTCAGACACGGCTGTAGCAACTGTGCATACACACATCATTCTTGACTACATGAAACATTACAAATAAGGAAATACCATCATTAGAACCATGCTGTATCCGGGCTTCCCTAGTAGCTCAGTGGTCAAGAATCCACCTGTCAATGCAGGACACGTAAGTCTGACCCCTGATCCAGGAAGACCCCACATGCTGTAAAGCGACTAGGCCTGGGTATCACAATTACTGAGCCTGCACTCTAGAGCCTGCGAGCTGCAACTGCTTTAACAAGCGCATGTGCCCGAGAGCCTGTGTTCTGAACAAGAGAAGCCACCACAGAGAGAAGGCCCAGTGCTGCAAGCAGAGAGCCGTCCCTGTTCACTGCGACTAGAGAAGGAAACCCCGTGCAGCAGTTAAGACCCAGAAGAGCCAAAAATATAAAAAAGAAACAAACATTAAAAAAAAAAGAACTATACTTGTGGAGCATGCAGTCATGCAGGGTATGCTGCTGCTGCGTCGCGTCAGTCGTGTCCGACTCTGTGCGACCCCACAGACGGCAGCCCCCCAGGCTCCCCCGTCCCTGGGACTCTCCAGGCAAGAACACTGGAGTGGACTGCCATTGCCTTCTCCAGTGCATGAAAGTGAAAAGTGAAAGTGAAGTCGCTCAGCCGTGTCTGACTCTTCGAGACCCCATGGACTGCAGCCCACCAGGCTCCCCGTCCATGGGATTTTGCAGGTGAGAGTCCTGGAGTGGGGTGCCACTGCCTTCTCCGGGCAGGGTACGACAAGGACACAATTAAAGTAACTACTCCATGGTGCTTATAATCACTGTCTCCAGGTGACAGTGTGAGTAGTTGTTATTACTGAAGGGGAGAACATGCCGGCCTAAAATATGCCACTTGACATGTGGGTTATTTTCAGCTGACAGCAATCAAGAGCCAGCAGACTCAGGAAGAACTTTTACCTCTCCCTTAACTACGTAAAAGAATTTAGATAGGGGGCCTGGCCCAGAAAAACAGCTATTACCATAATGTTATCTGAAAGTCCTATCTGCATGGCAGGGCAAACCTCTAAATACCACACATTTGGTCTTATTATCTTATGAGTCACTCTCCTCCCCTTTGAAGGCCCAGGCCCTACTCCCACACCTTAGCATAGGATGGCACATAAGCCTCAACTGTCCAACTTGCTCTTGAGTCTCTTATCACAGGGGATCCTGTATGTACCAACTTAAATATGGTTTCTCCTGCTAATTCATCCTCTGTCAATTTAATTATTAGACCAAAGAAGCTAGTGCTGTGCTGAGTCGCTCAGTTGTGTCCAACTCTTTGCAACCCTGTGGACTGTAGCCTGTCAGGCTCCTCTGTCCATGGGATTCTTCAGGCAAGAATACTGGAGTGGGTTGCCATGCCCTCCTCCAGGGGATCCTGCCAACCCAGGATCTAGGTTCAAAGAACCTAGAAGAGAACAGAAAAATTTTCCACCCCTACATTAACTTTCCATTGACTTGGTCTAGTAAGACTAACAGCACACTTTTAAAGCATCTTTGATTTTATGAATTAGGTAAACAGATATTCTCTCTCTCAGGAATATCCCCTGTTGCCTACCTTCTTTAAAAGCCTATGAAGTGTTAAAGGCCACTGAATGTTAGCCGCCTCCTTGTGTCCAGCTCTTTGCGACCCCATGGACTAGGGCCTGCCAGGCCTCTGTCCATGGGGTTCTCCAGGCAAGAGTACTGGAGAGGCCTGCCATTTAAGAATGCTAATAGCAGATAAACACAATAATAAATTAAACCAGTTTAGCAAAAAGCTACTTAAGTGTGGAATGTGAATCTTATAGTAACACATTTTAACATGTTGTTGAAGGTTATAAATGACTAAAGGCGTATTTGTTTCCTGGATGCAAGTAGAAAGCATGAGAAATGTCCCCAAGTGTCTCAACTGGGAAATGGAGAATTTCTTCACCATCATTTGACAAATAAGAAATTAATCAAATCAACAAACCTTTAAATCACTCACAAGTTGCTAGTATCACAAATTTAATGTTAGTTATATATAGCAGTGGTAATTTATTTCCTGTATAACAAATGTTCACAAAAAGCTTGGTAAACTCCTTTTAGAAGTAAGAATAGTCACTTCATACACATAGATGCTAGAAAAGGAAGAGAATAAAAGCTGGCTGACATTTAAACATCAATGTCTCTAATCACTATGCATATGCATTTCAGGAAGTGTGCCAATATACAATTTAGTGTCCTCCTCTTCCTCCAACTTGCCTATCTAATAACTACCTTCTACACAAGAAATGTCTTAAATGTGTTAGTTACAAAGCATATATTTTGCTTTTCAAATCTTGTTCTTTCTCATTCATGTACATATTATTCCTTACCATAAATTATACTACCACCTTCATTTGAGTGGGTTTTAATATGTACCATAATTTAAAGGTTTGCTATGTGTAAAATAATGAATACTCTCAGAACAAAAACTCCAACTTGTAAGATGGAACATTTCTTAAAATGCTTTTACCTTTCAAAAAATTATTTTGCCAGATTGTATGCATAATTATTGTGAAATAATAGGCACCATTTCATTATGACAGGGTACTCATATGTTATATAGCAATCACATTTTAAATCCCAGAGTAAAGGCAATAATTCACCATTGATAGATGCACTTATATGTATATGTTAAAAAGTATGTGTTAAAGTAAAAACCGTGACTCATTTAGTACCAGGTAATTGTTTCGAAACTTCTGTTAGGTGAATATTAACATAATCTTTATACAAATGCTAATAACTCCCAAAATATTTGCTTATAACCAAATGCTTCTACAACATGGCTAGCAAAGAAATTTTTGGAATCAGAAGGCATTATTGGGAAAAAGAAAGAAAATCTATTAGAGCTTTTGAAAAAAATAAAGATAGGCAAGACTGATGTTCATTTTGCTTCAATTTCCCAAATACAAATATTAACTAATATCTATTCTGGAAAGAAAGCTGCAAAATTATTTCCAGAAAATTTTCTCACATAAAGGAAAAATAAAACTTGGCAGGTAATAGAAAGAACATCATTTAAAAGAACCTCATTCATCATCATTCAGTGATGATATATCAGGCTTAGAAAAAACTGCTTTGAAAGGAAATTGAGTCTATAATTATTTCAAATTAAAAGTTTAAAAAAAGGCAAAGGGGATCTGTCTAAAAATAAGCTAAATAACTCAAAATTAACTGTTCTGTCTACAAGCCCTAATTACATTACCCACTAACGGATAGACTTTTCAGCTGCAATAAAATACTCTGAAAAAACTTACAGCACCTTGAATAATGACTGACTTAAATAAAATCCCACTTCTAAGCCAAAGAGCAAGTTCCCCAAAGAGCAGACTATCTCCAATACATTTAGTACTAGGAAGAAAGAGAAAGCCAGTGCACTTCGAATAGGATCAATAGGGCCCTTCTGAGTTTGAGAAAATGTACATTATTGAGAAGGCCTACATTATTCTTAGAGACTTGTAATAGAATGTAAGTAAAAGCAGCATGTGCCATTAGGCACAAGATAAAACATGAATGAGCAAATGAATGAGTTTATTGTTATCCTTACAGACTTTTCTGTAGCCTACACTTTTCTCTTCTGGTTTGCTTTCTAAATCCTTGTATAAGAGTTAGTGCTTCATGAAAAAACAAATCACCACCACCACCACGTTTAAATGTGAGAGTTGGACTGTGAAGAAAGCTGAGTGCCAAAGAACTGATGCTTTTGAACTGTGGTGTTGGAGAAGACTCTTCAGAGTCCCGTGGACTGCAAGGAGATCCAACCAGTCTATCCTAAAGGAGATCAGTCCTGGGTGTTCATTGGAAGGACTGATGCTGAAGTTGGAACTCCAATACTTTGGCCACCTGATGTGAAGAGTTGACTCATTGGAAAAGACCCT